GTGACAACATTTTTAAAATAATGGCGATGTTCCGCATGGTACTAACAATGTCCTGTACACATTTAGTTTCGCTCAACTCACTCGGTCTCAAAAATACAATACCTATGTACGTTTTCAGCCAGGAAATTTGATTAATTCTACATTTTTCGAATTTTCACCCCCAAGAACGGCGGTGACAACATTTTTAAAATAATGGCCATGTTCCCCATGGTACTAGCTATGTCCTGTACACATTTAGTTTCGCTCAACTCACTCGGTTTCAAAAATACAATACCTATGTACGTTTTCAGCCACGAAATTTGNAAATATACTAACCCATTTTCTCGTAGGTCAGTTACATAATGGGTGAATATATTTTACAAAGTGTTACTGGATATACAGGGTGATCCATTAACGGTATGGTGCGGCTGTACATAGGAAACTAGACATGCTACGATTATAGAGCAAAAAATCTGAAAACAAATACGGCCAAAAGAAATGGATTTAAAATATTTTCAAGTTTATAACTTCACCGCTAGAGGGCGCAACTCCTGTAGTGCTACAGAAAATTGTCGTTTTTTCGAAATTTCTTGTATAACCCAAGTTGAAAATACACTTTTTAGATACACTGTTAAACTCTTCACAAATTTTGTTTCAACTTTTTTTGTTATTACCATAGCAACGTCAGTATAAAGGACGCCATCTTGAAACGTTTAAATTGTCATAACTTTTAAATGCCTTAATCGATTTCAAGAAACGACGACTCATTTTAAAAAAACTATTAATACGTTTTGTTTTTATAAAATGGGAATCGAAATTTTATTTTCCTGCGCAACGGTAGACGACGCTAACGGAATTTTGTAATTGTCTCCGTTTACAAAAAATAAAAATAAATGCAATGATTTCGGTTTTTTTCGTGGTTTGATGGCTTAATAAGAAAAAAAAAAAAAACAGGAGGTCGATATCTTTTTTCATTTTAAAGTTATTGCTAAAATAGTGAAGTTAGTTCTCCAAATACCATTGACATAGTACAAGCCAAAACTAAATTGTAAAACTGTACCAAGTATTAAAAAGGTATTTTTTGATCGCTACAATTTTTATTTTTTTTTATTAGTTCCAAATATCTGAGTATGTATTTATAAAGATTATTGTTTCTATAATACAAGTAATTTTTTCACACAAATGACACTAATTTTGCGCGAAGCAAGGGCTGTCACACGTTGTTTGACATAATTTTTCATTTGTTTATTTTCATAGGACATAGCCATGGAAATAATAATCTTTATGAAGATATTATTTGGCATTAATAAAAAAAAATAAATGGAACATTGTATTAATCAAAAAAAGCAACTTTTTTAAAGACAAGCTTTGTATAGTCTTACATTTTAATTTTGGTTTGGACTATGTCAATGTTATTCAGAGAATTAAATAAACGACGAGGTTCTAGCGCAACTTCACTATTTTGTCAATAACCGAAAAGATTCCGAAAGTTATCGACCTCCGGTTTGTGGATTTGTTTTCTTTAATAAATAGTCTACCAAGCTATAAAAAAACTTTTCTGATTAGCGTCGTCTACCGTTGCGTAGGAAAATATTATTTTTATTCCATCATGAAAATAAAACGTATTAATAGTTCTTTAAATTGAGCCGTCGTTTCTTGAAATCGATTAATGCATTTAGAAGTTACGACAATTTAAAAATTTCGAGATGGCGTTCTTTATACTCACGTTGCTATGGTAATAACAAAAAAAAAGTTCAGACAAAACCCATGAAGAGTTTAATAGTGTATCTAAAAATTGTATTTTCAACTTGGGTTATATAAGCGAAATTTACAAAAAAACGACAATTTTTGGTACCACTATAGCAGTTGCGCCCCCTAGCGGCGTAGTTACAAACTTGAAAATATTTTAAATCAATTCCTTTTGGCCGTATTTGTTATCAGATTTTTTACCCCATGATCGTAGCACGTCGAGTTTACTATGTACCGTTAATGGATCACCCTGTATATACAATGCTTATCATATCGTGAGTTTGCATCCTGTTTGGGTTGCCAAATAAAACCGCGAAGCCTTAAATAACCCGACTGCTACCAGTGGCGTACCTGTTTAAATCTACCTATTCAAAATCACAAAATCTAAAGGCGCTGCCACACGATAACGTCGATCACGCACTGATTTTCAGGACTTAAATTTTTAAATCAAAATCTAACTAAACTATAGCTAAAATTTATTACTTTTCTTCGTTGAATGAATTAGGCGAAGCTTCCTCGGGACCAAATCCTAACCTCAATCTATATATTCCCTCGAAGGTGCAAAATTGTTCGATTTGGCAACAGAATTAGTGTTAGAGCTATCAGTTAAATACACGCAATAAGTTATTTAACAACTATAGAGGAGCAGTCGTACGGCCGATTTTTTTTTTATATCACATTGAAAAATTCACGAGAAAAACTACCCGTTACATTAAGTGACTAACCAACCACCGTTCTACTTGCTGCTGATGGGGATGGGTGTGTATCACGCTTCTTTGCCGTAAGTGGTATATCTGTAGCACCAAAAGTGGACCTCGTCTTCTTCGTTGCAGCACATTGGGTACACTATGGGGGACTTGGTCTGTTTGGCGCAACGCTGGCAGATTTCGATTTTCTTCGACTGAAAAAAAAAGAAAGGACGTAAAAAATAAGATAAACGGGTCATTAAGACGAAAAGAACATCTTTATTGTAATATACCATAGGCATAGATTCGGGATAAGAGATCCGGTTGAAATCTAGCTGCAAATGAACTTTTCCTGGAGGTGATGCCACTAGAAATGTGACATATTATCTTTGCTCCCGGCGCCCGAAAAAAAAAATACTCGCTTGATAAATCCGGTTATAAATAATCGGCTAGGGGTCAGCTATATTTCCCGCAATGCCTCCTCCGATTAGATAAGCCCGATACCAAAATACACCTCCACTTGTGGCATATCACCGCGTTAAAAAGTTTACTGGAATTTACGAATAAGGATAGCAGGGTCGCGAAAAATGAATATCCTCACACATCTGCTTCGTTGTGTTATTTGTAGATAAAAACTATCAATAGTTGTTACAAATTTAAAGTCCATAATGTGAAACAAAATATTTACTTCGTAGTATCTCGAGAATTACTCATCAAATTGGTCTCTAAATACTTATTTTTGTATCTAGAATGTAAATAAAAAAATAAGCCAATTGTGTTATTACAACAATTTAATTTATATTTGAATCGAGACGGTTTAGGCGCGGTGACTATCATAGCGACAGCAACCTAATAAACTAAAAATAAAAATTGGTTGTTTGAAAAAATAATGTCAGAATTATATATTGTAATTCATATTCTAAGTGTTTAATTCTAATTCAAAATGAGCTCGGAAAGCGAAGACGAGCATTTACCGGGGGAAGTATTGGAAGCTGCACAAAGTGCTGTTTAAATAAAATAAAAGCTAATTTTTTCGACCATTTTGAGATTTGAATGTTTGTTGCTCAAATCGAAAAAATGTGTTAGAAAAGAAATATATATTTTTTGAAATAATTTTGTTTTAACTTACATCTGCGTTGTCGCAGCCATAAGCACTGGAAGCCCACTCACCACTAGGCCTGGCCATCGTTTGCCTCATTACCAAAATCAGGAATATAATGTAGACGACCAAAACTGACTGAAAATAAAAAGAATATTAAATTGTGTATCTTTGCAATATGCCAAAAACGTTGCAGACAAATTGAGGAGCCGAATATGGTTGAAAATTTATCACAGTTCGTTAATCCAATTATTTCTTTGCTCTGTCATAAAGTGGCATCTATACGGAAGCGTTTTTTTGTCAACTTTAACGCTCTTTAGCGTTCAATTTAGTTAAATCTGCTTATTTCGATCGCAGGACATGTGGTAGCTCTACATACTGTTAAGAGTTAGTACGTTTAAAAAGAGGACACCCTGTAGTAATAACCCGTAACTAGAACCGTCCCTGGGCACCGTCCTGTCCATTTTCGGAAGGAGACAGTCGACAGTGCAAGTGATTAAATCCTAGTACGAGGAGTTATGTAACAATCGTTATTCGTAGCGACTCGCGGACAGAACGGCGTATGCCTAGGCATTTATCAGTTACTAAATACCAATTAGTTTAATTAAGACTATCTATCGGAGATAACCGAGAAGAAAACATACTTAATGATTTTACTGCCCGTGTTAGCATTCTTGTTTTCGAACTCATTTCTTTTTTAAGTAAGTATAAATAATCCTGTCGGTAGAAAAATATTTTTATCGGAATCACGCCGCGGTCACATTGCCCAAATTGCCGTGCGTGTTTTTCTCCTGCGGTCCCGAAGACGTACAGGGTGGCGGTGTTTCGCGGCCCAACAAGCAAAATCGTCGTAGGATGTTTGTTTAAACGTCCGAATATGATCGTGTTGAAGCCAATGGATATTTACATGTTTCCAATAACGTTGCTTCGAATGACATAGAAAGTACGTGAATTTCTCGCTTATTTTCGAAATCTGTCGTATTGTTAACTGAGCAAACCGTGAAAACGCATTTATATGCACTTGTATGTTTCTAAATCTTCTATTTTTTCAAGTCCATGTTCCAGCTGTCGCTATAGTCTGATTAGTCCAATCACTGAAGGCGAAAATAAAGTGAAAGCTCCCAATTTTTTCGGATAGCATGGATTTTCCTAAAAATTTGCATAACAAGCTCGTCTGACCCCCACTTCAAAAGTTATATTGTCTAGATGTGTGCTTTTTTCTATTTGGGGGTGAAAAAACGCGAAAATCGTAGATTTACGTATTTTAAAGATTCAATTCATGTTCAAATATGTTGGAAAAAAGAGATGAAAATACCGTACTTTTCGTGAATGATCCAAGTTCATAAACGAAAAAAATATTTCATCTCGAGTTGAAATTGCTATTTTTTCGACTCGCATATAATTTTGTGTTCGATGTAATTCAAATCGGGATATAATACAGCGAATTATTGATACATTTTTTTAGTCAGTTCCACATTGCAACACTTGCAAAGTTGCTACTGTCACATTGAAGATAACATTTGTCAAATCCAATGTACAAGAACCACAGTACAAAATTTCCAACCTATTGGATTGAATGGTTTCTATAGATTTCTGTTTTACATCATTTTTTTATTAAGATTTTTTATGCTAAAGCATAAGTTTGTTTCATTTCCCAATAAACCATCAATTTTTTTTGTATTTATGTACATTGCGCTTAAAATTACCTATTTTACCGTAAAAAACCTTGATAAAAAATTGTTCTCTTCTGCAATTTAAAAAAAAAATCGTTTTTCACTGGTAAATTTCGATTGTCGAGAGCATACCGAGGATCTAGTTACCTTAAGCATGGAAGACATGATGCGGCGAAGAAAAAATAACAAAACACACACTGTCGGTCGATGGCTTCGAAATCACAACTCGACTCGCGAAAGCTGAATGTTTAGTATCACTAAAATGCCATCTATTAATTTATATATGGATCCCAATCGGTTAAAAGTCCAAGAGGTGATAAGCCCCATAGCTAGATCACACACAGCAGTAGGAAGTAATCGTTTGGTATTGCGAGACGTGGCTTTCCTTTTCCAGGAAGCTGGAATCGCGCGCCTCTTTTATTTTTACGCCGCTTTTCGTATCTTATTTTCGAGCTTTGTTTATTTCCATCGAGTAAACGCCTTGTTAATTTTGTTATTGTTTGCGCTCCGCTATCTCCAGACATATTTGGCTCCTATTTTTATGCGATCGTCGTTTATTTTTGTCCGTTTCTAACGCGGCCTTCTGCCTAGGAATGTCGTTGATGCAACTTGTTTACAATTGGGCGTTTTTTCGACTTTTCCTGATCCCCGGTCCAAGGGTTCAGCGTTAATGTAAATACAAGTGCCAGTTTTTACAAAAAAAAGATCACACTATAAGAGCCGCCCGCCACTTCTGTTTTGAGCATTTGTGTTTTAAAATATTGTTTGTTAGGCAGTTATTTAGCATCATTTTCAGTGTTTTTTTTCTATCGAGATGTTCTGGAGCGTCCAGTCCAACAACCATTTTTCGAAAATTGCTTGGAAATATTCAAGATTTGACGTGACAAATTATAAATTTCTAAAATTTGAGGATGTTACTTTTTGTAAACGAGTTTAAAAATTAATTTAGGGGAACATTGGTAGTAGGGCAAGCAAATAAGATTTTTACTCGAAAAAATTCCTATCCGCGAGATTATTGTAAAATCGTCTAAAAGAACATAATACAAGACATTTCTCATCTCGTGAGTCAAAAACTTTTATTCGCTAACTTTTCTATTTAAACAAGTAAGTGAGGAAATCAGTTTTTTCACTTTGCAGGGAAAACCATCAATTTTAGCGAAAAGTGACTCACAGACAGCTTATAGGGAGGAAAATTGTCACAAAAATTATTGTTAAACGAAATATTAATTAAAATTTAAATTTCGGAATTATTTTACTATTATTAAATAAATAAATGAAGCTATCGTTCATTTAAGGAGTTATTTTTCATAAAAATAGAAAATCTATTATTGAAAATGNAATAACCGAATAACCGGTTTTCGGATTTCATAAAAATCCGAATTATCCGAAACCGGTTAACCGACTATCCAAAAAACCGGTTTCAGTTGCCAGCACTACGTCCAACAACCATTTTTTGAAAATTGCTTGGAAATATTCAAGATTTGACGTGACAAATTATAAATTTCTAAAATTTGAAGATGTTACTTTTTGTAAACTAGTTTAAAAATTAATTTAGGGGAACATTGGTAGTAGGGCAAGCAAATAAGATTTTTACTCGAAAAAATTCCTATCCGCTAGATTATTGTAAAATTGTCTAAAGGAATATAATACAAGACATCTCTCATCTCGTGAGTCAAAAACTTTTATTAGCTAACTTTTCTATTTAAACAAATAAGTGAGAAAANATTCAAATACTTTTTATTCTTTTTTAAATCTTTTAACAATAAATAATAATTTGAAAATAATTTGTGAATTTTTACTTTAATTTTACATTTAAATCGTAAAGAAATAACAAAATATTGAAAAAATAAATTTACTTAGGCTTAAATAATTAAAAAAATTACTTTTTAAATGAACGACAGCTTCATTTATTTATTTAATAATAGAAAAATAATTCCGACATTGAAAATTTAATTAATATTTCATTTAACAATAATTTTTGTGACATTTTTGTAAATTAAAAAACATTCAGTATAAAAGATGCATTTTTTTCGGGGTTCAGGGTTATTCTACGAATTCGTAAATATGCCTATTGTTATTTTTTTCGTCGAGCTACCCCTGTTTAAAAAAAAATAAGTTTCTATGATGAATAGAAGCCGAGATATTGAAAAATTTTACAGCGCGCATCAATTTGAACTTGGATTTCACTTTTCTCGCGCGCGACTCGCTTGGACGAGCTTCCCCCACCACCACGCCGGACATTTTACTTAGCAAGTACCTTCTCTTTGAAGGGCTCGTGAGTCGTTAATTTTCCACATTTTTCAATTCAATTCACGGAAAATCTTAGTTTACGTCGTAAACTTTATTTTGCGAAAAATTCAAGTCAAAATGTTTATAAACAATTGCACTACGATTTTTTTTTTTTAAATTCTTATCTAGGCTCCTGTTTGTTGGTCGTAGAGTGCTTTTTTAAAAAAAATCAAAATTCATTTTATTCAAATTGTTTATAAGTGAAACATGCACGGTTTTTTAATGCACAATTTGAGAATGTTAATGTCAAAAAACCGATGATATTTTTTAATAGGTCGCTTAATTGCGTCTTTAAGATTACAATGACGCTTTAAGAATCATG